CACCCACCGCCCCCAATCCATCCCCCCCCCCCCCCAACCCATCACCCCCCACCACCCCCATCCCATCACCATCATCCCCCACCACCAGCACCCACCACCAGCACCCTGACCCCCACCCTCCCCATCAACCCCCCCGTACCTGGAACAGCATCGTGGAGCACCTGCTCAGCCCTGGCACCGCTCTCCACATGACCCTTCCTCTTCGACATGGAGCGCAGGTACTTCTGCAGGGTGGCCCTGCCACCCTCGGGTCCCCGTGGCTCCTTGGTCCCCTTGGAGGGGGCCGAAAACGCCCGTTGGAAGAGGGACCGACGGGTGCTGGCCTTGGGTGCCCCCGGTTGGGTGCCCTTTCCAGCCCCGTCATCGAGGCCATCAGACTCGGGTTGGCTGTAGGAACGTTTCCAGCCCTGCAAGCGGGTCCAGCGCCGGCTGCCCGGGGACCCCGTGCCCCGTTCGGGTTCCCGGTCACCCATGGGTGCTGCCGTTCGCCATTTGTAGGTTTTTAGCAGAGTTGGTGGTTCGGGTCCCAGCGGGGGTTTCTCCACCTCCATCTGTGGGATGGGGAGAGCCACGTTAGCCACGGGGTGGCCACAGGGTGGCCACGGGGTGGCAGGGGTGGTGGTGGGAAGGGCGCCTTTGTCTGGGCACCCCCAGTCTGGCATCCCCACCCGGGCACCCCTCTTTGGGTGCCCCATCCTGGTACCCCTACTGGAGCACCCCCACCCAGGCACCCCTATCCAGGCACCTCTGAGACCCCCTTTATGGGTGCCCCTATCCCGGCACCCATGCACAGGCACCCTAGGTGGACACCCTATCCAGACACCCCAATTTGGGTGCCCTCACCCAGTGAACCCCCATCTAGGCACCCTGTGTGGGTGCCCTTATTTGGGGGGCTCTATCCGGGCACCCCCACCCAGGCGCCCCTATCCAGGCACCCTTATCTGGGTGCCCCCATCCAGGCACCCCAATCCCGGCACCCCTATCCAGGCACCCTTATCCGGGTGCCCCCACCCAGGCACCCCAATCCCGGCACCCTATTGGGGTACCCCTATGTTATCACCCCATTTCCGCACCCTTATCTGGGTGCCCCTACCTGGGTGCCCTTCTCCAGCGCACCCTAATCCAGACACCCCTATTTGGGTCCTCTCATGCAGGGCACCCTTAGCTGGGCACCCACGTTGGGGCACCCTGGGGTGCCCATTGCCATGGGGTGGCCCTGCCCACTGAGGGGGTCCCCACTTCCATGGGTGCTCCAGCCGCCCCGGGGGCTCCCAATCTTGTGGGTGGCCGTGTCCCTGGGGTCCCCCTGCCCACCGAGGGGGCCCCATCTTGTGGGTGCCCACAGCCTCGGGGTTGACCCTGCCCATGAGGGGGGTCCCCAAATTGTGGGTGCTCACATCCCCAGGGTGCCTCTGCCCATGAGGGGTCCCCAAATTGTGGGTGCCCACGTCTCCAGGGCGCCCCTGCCCACCGAGGGATCCCCATCTTGTGGGTGCCCACAGCCCTGGGGTGCCCCTGCCCATGAGGGGTCCCCAAATTATAGGTGCTCACATCCCCAGGGTGCCCCTGCCCACCGAGGAGGCCCCATTTTGTGGGTGCCCACATCCCCAGGGTGCCCCTGCCCATGAGGGGTCCCCAAATTGTGGGTGCCCACGTCCCCAGGGCGCCCCTGCCCACAGAGGTGGTCCAGCACCCCGTGGGTGCCCACGCCAGCCCCTGCCCCACGCAGCACCCGTCCCTGCCAGGGCGCGGTGAGATGGCGGGAGGCGGCG